AGTCGGACACAACTGAGTGACTTCACGTCTTTCACTTTCAGCCATTTATTAGCTATGTAGTTTGGGCAAGACACAATCTCTTTGAGCCCTAGTTAGTTTTTTTTTTTTTAATTGTAGTGGTTTTTGCCATACATTGACATGAATCAGCCATGGATTTACATGTGTTCCCCATCCCGATCCCCCCTCCCGCCTCCCTCCCCATCCCATCCCTCTGGGTCTTCCCAGTGCACCAGCCCTGAGCACTTGTCTCATGCATCCAACCTGGGCTGGTGATCTGTTTTTGTATACTTGTTTCAATGCTGTTCTCTCTGAACATCCCACCCTTGCCTTCTCCCACAGAGTCCAAAAGTCTGCTCTGTATATCTGTGTCTCTTTTTCTGTTTTGCATATAGGGTTATCGTTACCATCTTTTAAAATTCTATATATATGCATTAGTATACTGTATTGGTCTTTATCTTTCTGGCTTACTTCACTCTGTATAATGGGCTCCAGTTTCATCCATCTCATTAGAACTGATTCAAATGAATTCTTTTTAATGGCTGAGTAATATTCCATAGTGTATATGTACCACAGCTTCCTTATCCATTCGTCTGCTGATGGGCATCTAGGTTGCTTCCATGTCCTGGCTATTATAAACAGTGCTGCGATGAACATTGGGGTACACGTGTCTCTTTCAGATCTGGTTTCCTCGGTGTGGATGCCCAGAAGTGGGATTGCTGGGTCATATGTCAGTTCTCTTTCCAGTTTTTTAAGGAATCTCCACACTGTTCTCCATAGTGGCTGTATTAGTTTGCATTCCCACCATAGTTTTTTTAAAAAAATATTTATTCATTTATTTGACTGCCTTGGGTGTTAGTTGCAGTGTGCAGGATCTTTAGCTGTGGCATGTGGGATCTAGTTCCCTGACCAGGGATTGAATCCAGGCCCCCTGTTCTGGGAACACAGAGTCTTAGCCACTGGACCACCAGGCAGGTCCCAAGCCCTAGTTGCTTACAACTGCAAAATAATTATTAGTCCCTGTATTGGATCCTAGACTGCACTTGTATTTTGTTTGATATGCCCAGGGATTTTTCTTGTTTGTTCATTTGTTTTGAATTATTTGCTATGGTAGGGGCAATGAGTGGTCATCAAATATCCAACTGCTCCTCTTAATTTCCCTGTCTTCGTTGGATTCAAGCAACTCTATATGATCAGTGAACTGTGAATTGAAATGATGTGCGTCATCACCTGACCAAGGCACTTAGGAGCTGGTGTGCATTTTGCATCTCTTTCTCCCAGCAGTGGTAGTCTTGGAAACCATCTACAGAGGCGGCAGCATCACAAGATAAAGGGATCCTGGCTCCCTGAGTCACCAGATAAGAGAATCCTCTTGACCTGCATCTGAGTTTGTGCTGAGCCAGTGACATTTGAGGGTTCGTTTGTACTACAGCATAACTTAATCTATCCTGACTAATATGGTTGAAGTGAAGTGAAGTGAAGTCGCTCAGTTGTGTCCGACTCTGCGACCCCGTGGATTGTAGCCTCCAGGCTCCTCTGTCCATGGGATTCTCCAGGCAAAAATACTGGAGTGGGTTGCCATTTCCTTCTCCAGGGTATCTTCCCAACCCAGGGATTGAACCCTGGTCTCCCACATTGGGGGCAGACGCTTTAACTTCTGAGCCACATTAGTGACACTTAAAAATTGAGAATTTTTATATGATGAATCTGAATTTTGGGGGGCTTGAATTCCTAAATGGCAGTAATTGTTCAGAGCTGAGGGATGGTGCGTGGGTGGGCATGCACTCTCTATTTCACCCCAGTCCTCATCATTTCCTGAAGGAAACCCTGATGACGCAGCTGAATGTCAGTTGCCACTTGACATCACTTTTGTGTAGTCATTTTCTTATACCTAAGAGGAAAGTGAACTATCTGTGAGTGTATATCCCACAGAAATGGGAAAATTAAATATATGAGAGCTGTATATTTAAGGACAGTTATAAAAGAGTTGTGCTCTTTGTGTAAGAGAAATCTAAATGTTGAATTTGTAAACTATGTATATAGTCAGGGCTCCCAAGGTGGCACTGGTGGTAAAGAACCCGTCTGCCAATGCAGGAGACATAAGAGAGGTGGGTTTGATCCCTGGGTTGATAAGATCCCCTGGAGGAGGAAATGGCAGCCCACTGCAGTATTCTTGCCTGGAGAATCCCATGAACAGAGAAGCCTGGTGGGCTACAATCCATAGGGTCCCACAGAGTTGGACACGAATGAAGAAGCTGAGCACACATGTGTAGAGTCAGGAAATCCCTGGCGGTCCAGTGTTTAGGATTTCACTTTCTCTGCTGGGGCCCCTGGTTTGATCCCTGGTATGGGAACTAAGATCCTGCAAACTAGGTAGCATGACCAAAAAAAGGGAAAGTTAAAAAGAGAATAAAGTGTGTCTGTGTTGAAAGAAGACAATGTAACATGCTATTCCAAAGTGACCCATAGGAAGAGTTATGATGGGTGTAGAGCAAGATGCCTGCTGCAGAACTTACTAAGTAAAAAATGGTGCTTACATTTCACAGGTGTTCCTTTCGATTGTGAATAAAGTAAATGATACTGCTGTGCAATGCAGTTACCTCTGATGTGAGAAAACTACAGTATCCCACTCACTTCACTTGGGTGCCTGCCTAATCCCTAGAGGTGCTTGATCTGTGAGGATTGAAAGAAACAATGTATGAGTATTGCTAAAGTGGAATGAAGAATGTCTAGCTTGGTACCTGGCATGTAATTGATTCCAAAAATGTTAGTTTTGTTTATTTATCCTGATCCTAGAAAAGAACACTGGCATCTATTGGGTTGGCCAAAAAGTTCTTTTGGGTTTTTCTGTAAGACAGTACAGAAAAACTTGAATGAACTCTTTGACCAACCCAATATTTCCAACTTTACTCAGAAGCCCAACGGTTCAATGTGGACATATAATCAAGAAGACCAACAAAATGGGTTGTGTCTAACAAGATGAGGAGACCAAGGGTGAAAGCAAAGCCAGAAGGGAGTGATGTCTTTATCAGGAGAGAAGAAAAAGATTTAAATTCTTCAGTCTAAGAAAATAAAGGCTGGGACTTGCCTAGTGGTCCAGTGGTTAAGACTCCACACTTCCATTGCAAGGGGCATAGGTTTGATCCCTGCTCGGGGAACTAAGACCCTGTACGCTGCAAAAAGAAACGAGCGACTGAGAGGAGACACAACTGAAACCATAAAATCTTAGACAGAAGGTGTGAAAAGCGAGAATTTGTTCAGGATATATTTCTACTGCCTCTGCCCTACCTCCATGGATGGGGACACAGAACCTCCCCATCCCATGGATGCTGGGCTTGGCCATGTGGTTTGTTTTGGTCAGTGGAGTGTGGGCAGAGCTGTGTGTGTGTGCGTGTGTTTGTGTGTGTGTGAGCTCTGCCCCCAGGCCTCTGGAAGCTTCTGACCTCCACCAGGAGAAGAACATGAACCGAGTAGCCACTTACCCTCAGCCTGTACCACAAAATGAGCCCTGTGGAGCAGACCCACAGACTGGAACCAATTCTAGCTGACCTGCCAAACCACAGATGCATACTTGGTGTTGTTTGTGCTGGGTTACGGGGTGCCTTTTCATGCAGGATTATTGCAACAAAAGCTGGTCACTCTGGAGGGTACAGATGGCGAGAAACTTTTATTATTCCCCAAATGCCAGGACCAGGCATCTAGACATTGTTCTATGGGAAACTTCAAAAGAGAAACCATTTCTACCTGGTCCCACATCTTTTTTTTAAATTTTGGCCACATTGTGTGGCATGCGGGATCATGTTCCTCAACCTGCAGCCCCCCGTCTTGGGAGCCTGGAATCTTAACCATTGGACCACCAGAGAAGTCCTGAGTCCCTCTTCTTTAAAGCCTCCTTTCACTCTCAATGTCCCTGCTCTCCGTTGCTCTCGATTATTTTCAATCATACTCTGTGGGTAGATTTTCCCATCTTTTTATCTTCTCAAAAGGAGCTGCTCTTTGGGCTATTCCCCAAAAAAGCAGAGTTTTGCTTCCTCTCTAATGATGCTAGTAATCAAAGCTAATAATAAACAGAGCTTTCTTTTTTAGATAATTTTCATTTATTTATACATTTTGGCGGTTCTGAGTCTTCATTGCTGTGTGTGGGCTTTCTCTAGTTGCAGTGAGCAGAGGCTACTCTCTCATTTCAGAGCGTGGGGCTTTCATTGCAGTGCCTTCTCTTGTTGTGGAGCACAGGCTGTAGGCTCATGGGCCTCAGTGGTTGTGGCCAGTGGGCTTAGCTGGTCTGCGGCATGTGGGATCTTTCTGGATCAGGGATAGAACCCATATCCCCTGCATTGCCAGGCGGATTCCTATCTGCTGTACCACCAGGAAAGTCCTAAACAGTGCTTTCTATTAGGTAGACAATGTTCTAAGGGCTTGACGAAGTTGAACTCACTTAATTTTCACAGCCATCCTATGTGGTAAGCACTGTTTATTCATTTCCATTTTATAGATAAGGAAACTGAGGCAACAAAATCTAAGTGATGGCCCCAACCAGCACAGGATTAATCATTAAACAGTGAGGATTCAACCCTGGTAGTTTGACCCAACATTCCAAGCTTTTCCTATTGTCTTTTCCTTTTCACTGGTGGGTTAAATGAATCAACAAATCTACATTAACATTAGTCATGCAGAATTGGTTTATTACCTCCTCAGATACCATAAGGCCATAACTCATTATGTGTGTAGATGGCCTTGAAGAAATGAATCTAAGGGTGGAATTTTGCCCTGTAACAAGTCACTAAGGAGATAATGTAAAGGTGATTTTTTTTCTCATGCCCTGTAGATCACACTTTAATTTTAAGGAGGTCAAAGAATTAGCAAACTCAGACTTTAAAAGAAGAAATTTTTGCAGAAAAGGTAAGTGAATCTTATTTTTGGACCGTGTGTCCCTCTCATGGAGGACATGCAAACCTGATGACCATCAACTGCACACCCGAGTGTTGGAGTGGGGGCTGTCCTACCAGTGCCCCCCAGGACCATGGGCTCCACCCCTCCTGCTTGTGTGGATACTGGCAGCTTTGGTTCCGTGTCCCTGCATCGTATCCAGATACAAAATTCCACCTTGTCGGTGGTTCCTGCAAAAATACCAGTGAGATGAAGGATGTGATTTTTTCTTTTTCTTTTTTTTACTGAAGACGTGTTAAGACAGAGGAGGGGATCACATCACTAAAAATGCAACCTCCACTATCTCATGAGGTCCCCGAGCAGTGCCTCAGGTCACCCCCCTTTTCAAATCCACGACGCCCTCTGTACATGAATCCTTGGGTGGGCTGTCCTCAGCTCTGGCTGCTGCTTGCAAGAGGACCAGCTCAGCAAGCCATCTGTTTCTCCAGCTTTCAGTCACCTCTCCCCTAAAATTCTGATAAGTCCAATTTCTCTATCTTATTACAGTTGTTGTTTAGTTGCTCAGTCGTGTCCAACTCTGTGACTTCATGAACTCTAGTCCATCAGGCTCCTCTGCCCATGGAATTCTCCAGGCAAGAATACTGGAGTGGGTTACCACTTTCCTCTCTAGGGGATCTTCCCGACCTAGGGATTGAACTTGCATCTTCTGCATTGACAGGCAGATTCTTTACCATGGAGACACTAGGGAAGCCCATCTTGTTACAGTAAGAAGTACTAAAGAAAGTGGTGGATTGCAACAAAAAGAATAAAATACTTAGGAGTATATCTACCTAAAGAAACAAAAGACCTATACATAGAAAACTATAAAACACTGATGAAAGAAATCAAAGAGGACACAAACAGATGGAGAAATATACCGTGTTCATGGATTGGAAGAATCAATATTGTCAAAATGGCTATACTACCCAAAGCAATCTATAGATTCAATGCAATCCCTATCAAACTTCCAACGGTATTTTTCACAGAACTAGAACAAATAATTTCACAGTGTGTATGGAAATACAAAAAACCTCGAATAGCCAAAGTAATCTTGAGAAAGAAGAATGGAACTGGAGGAATCAACCTGCCTGACTTCAGACTATACTACAAAGCCACAGTCATCAAGACAGTATGGTACTGGCACAAAGACAGAAATATAGATCAATGGAACAGAATAGAAAGCCCAGAGATAAATCCACGAACCTATGGTCACCTTATCTTCGACAAACGAGGCAAGGATATACAATGGAAAAAAGACAACCTGTTTAACAAGTGGTGCTGGGAAAACTGGTCAACCACCTGTAAAAGAATGAAACTAGAACACTTTCTAACACCATACACAAAAATAAACTCAAAATGGATTAAAGATCTAAATGTAAGACCAGAAACTATAAAACTCCTAGAGGAGAACATAGGCAAAACACTCTCTGACATAAATCACAGCAGGATCCTCTATGAGCCACATCCCAGAATTTTAGAAACAAAAGCAAAAATAAACAAATGGGACCTAATGAAACTTAAAAGCTTTTGCACAACAAAGGAAACTATAAGCAAGGTGAAAAGACAGCCCTCAGACTGGGAGAAAATAATAGCAAACGAAGCAACAGACAAAGGATTAATCTCAAAAATATACAAGCAACTCCTCCAGCTCAACTCCAGAAAAATAAATGACCCAATCAAAAAATGGGCCAAAGAACTAAATAGACATTTCTCCAAGGAAGACATACAGATGGCTAAAAAACACATGAAAAGATGCTCAACATCACTCATTATCAGAGAAATGCAAATCAAAACCACAATGAGGTACCATTACACGCCAGTCAGGATGGCTGCTATCCAAAAGTCTACAAGCAATAAATGCTGGAGAGGGTGTGGAGAAAAGGGAACCCTCTTACACTATTGGTGGGAATGCAAATTAGTACAGCCACTATGGAAAACCGTGTGGAGTTTTCTTAAAAAGCTGGAAATAGAACTGCCATATGACCCAGCAATCCCACTTCTGGGCATACACACCAAGGAAACCAGATGTGAAAGAGACACATGCACCCCAATGTTCATCGCAGCACTGTTTATAATAGCCAGGACATGGAAGCAACCATCATGCCCATCAGCAGACGAATGGATGAGGAAGCTGTGGTACATATACACCATGGAATATTACTCAGCCATTAAAAAGAATTCATTTGAATCAGTTCTAATGAGATGGATGAAACTGGAGCCCATTATACAGAGCGAAGTAAGCCAGAAAGATAAAGACCATTACAGTATACTAATACATATATATGGAATTTAGAAAGATGGTAACGATAACCCTATATGCAAAACAGAAGAGACTCAGATGTATAGAACAGACTTGTGGACTCTGGGAGAAGGCGAGGGTGGGATGTTTCAAGAGAACAGCATCGAAACATGTATATTATCTGGGGTGAAACAGATCACCAGCCCAGGTTGGGTGCATGAGACAAGTGCTCAGTCCTGGTGCACTGGGAAGACCCAGAGGGATCGGGTGGAGAGGGAGGTGGGAGGGGGGATCGGGATGGGGAATACATGTAAATCCATGGCTAATTCATTTCAATGTATGACAAAAACCACTGCAATGATGTAAAGTAATTAGCCTCCAACTAATAAAAATAAATGGAAAAAAAAAAAAGAAAGTGGTGGGCTACGATACCATCCTCCCACAAGAAGATCTCAAAACGAATAAAATAGTCAGCGAAATTTGTGGATATGGGATTAATATACAAACAGCAATAGCATGCTGATTTACCTGCAACCAACAAGGATATAACCTTTATTATTCCATTAATAAATAATAAACAATAACAAATGAATCAATGACATCAAGCATATTTACCACAACTATAGGGTGTAGTGTGCTAAGATGCTTCAGTCATGTCCAACTCTTTGCGACCTGTGGACAGTAGCCTGCCAGGCTCCTCTGTCCATGGGATACTCCAGGCAAGAACACTGGAATGGGTTGCCATGTCCTCCTCCAAGGGATAGGGTACCTTGTGATAAGTCTAATAAAAGATACCTAGCAGATCAATTTAGCTCTTCTTTTGAGGGAGAATGGATTAGATAAACTGGATTATTTGTACAGTTGAATTCTATGGTATAGCAATTAAAATGAATGATCCAAGACCCTCCTATATATCTACATGACTCAATCTTGAAAGAATAATGTTGAGTAAAAAAAGCAATTTGTAAAATGTACACATAGAATATAGCCTTCATGTAAAAATTTAAAACATACAGTTGAATATATAAATATGTGTCTGCATGAGAATGAAATTCACTTGTTTTTAAGATGGGACTACTTCTAAAGAAAGAATTTTAAAAGGATGAGAGTAGAGTGGAACTTCTTTAAAAAATTCTAAGGTTATAGACCTTAAATTTGCAGTCTTGTGTGTCAAATATATTCAATAAAAAATTCTAAGCAGGAAGGATATCTATGGTGATAGGTTACTTTTACATAATATGCATATTATTAATGTGTATTAATATAACAATATATATATTGATTTTTGTATTTATATGTTTGAAATATTTTATAATTAGAAATTGAAATAGAAATTTTATATGGGTTCAAAAAGAACCCATGGGTTTTCAGACAGTGCTGAAAAACCTTTCATCTTCTTTAATGACATGTTTTTGCTCTAATCATATATATTTCTTAATCTCCAAGACAAAAAATGTGTTATAAAATAAGAGATCAAACTCCTTGATTGAAATTTTATCATCATGGAAAGATCAGATCAGATATGCAATGATTTGCCCTTATTTTGAGAACTTCTGAGATAATCCTGAAACAGGGCAAGTCGACTTATCACTCCTGCAGCTCACTTTTCAGATCTAGTGGCTGAACTAAGAGGTGTAACATTTACGAGATCCTAGAACCCTAAGCTCTTTGTGTGAGCTTAGAACTCAGATCAGCTTGCGCAGAGGGGCGTGCTCCTGGCAAAGGTTAAAAGCAGTCTCTTTTTGTCAGATGGAGAGAATGAAGCAGGGACTGCTCAGAGAACAGAGGACAATGTGCAGAGGAAATCCACACCTAGACTTGGCAGAGCTATTCAAACTGGCCATGAGGAGAGGGATGCCGAGGATGTCAGACCTGCAGGTAAGACCTGCCCTGTCCTCTTTGGCAAGGGCAGCATTTAGGGAACAAGCATATTTCCTTTGTTCTTAAGTGTAGGGCTGTTTTGAATTCTACTTTAACATGCATACGAATCTCATGAACTATATAGTAAAAATTGGATGGTGGTTTACATATTCTGTAAATTCAATGGGCTTCCCAGATGGTTCACTGGTAAAGTATCTGCCTGCCAATGCAGGAGACGCAGGTTTGACCCCTGGGTCAGGAAGATCCCCTGGAGAAGATCCCACTTCAGTATGCTTGCCTGGAGAATCCCATGGACAGAAGAGCCTGGTGGGCTACAGTCCATGTGGTCCCAGAGTCAGACACGACTTAGTGACTGAGCATGCACACATGCATAAATTCAATAGTTGCAATTTTGTTTGAAATGATTCTTATAATGGTATCATGGTCATGTCTTTAAAGGAAAAAACCCTTAGTTTTTAAAGATAGGTATTGACATATTTATGGGTGAAATAATATTATGTCTTGGATTTGATTTAACGTGATTCAGAGACAGAAGAGGGTGAGAGTCAAACTAAAATAAGACTGGCCGTGTGTTGGTAACTAGTGAAGCTGGCCACCACTTGCCTGGGGCATTTTCCTGATGTGTTACCACATCTGGTCTGAACTGATCTGCTTGCCATGCAATGACAAACTTTTAAATCAGCATTGAAGTTGATTTTATTATCATCAAATTCTAAGATGTTTTCAAAGAAGATTGGAATTTTCAGCTTTGCCAGGAAGGAAGGCTACCATAGCCTTTCATATTGGATGAACCAGTAGAGCGTGTCTTATAGAAAAAAATGAACTCAGATTTGTTAAGTACCTATAAGATGGCAGATACTGCTTGAGTTTCACTACTCTTAAAGCATGCTTATTTGGTTGCAATGTGTCTTTGTTGCATCACACGGGATTTTCAGTCTTTGTTGCGGCATGCTGGATACATATATATTTTTTCAGTTGTATCATGCAGGGTCTTTTGCTGTGGCACGTGGGATCTTTTTTAGTTGCAGCATGCAAACTCTTAGTTGTGGCATTTGTGGGATCTAGCTCCCT